CAGGGCTCTTCATCCAGAACCCTGATACCCTTGTCATCGTTCCATGTATCCTCGGAAACCTTAGTTTTGATTCCTGCCTGGGCGTGGTCGATGAACATCTCTGTCCGTCGTCTGGCAGAAATCTGATGAAGGTCAGGTCCTCCTTGAGCTGCTCCCGGATGAAAACTGGTCCTTCGTGGCGTCTTGTGATGGCGAACCCATTCTGTGGGGGTCTCTTCCCAGAAGTCCTCTTCCGAGTTCTCGATCCACAGTTGGTCACGCGAGTTGCCCCAGGCCGCATCAGTGACCACGGAAACCCTTAGGTTTCTCCAGTCTATCGGCATCACTCGGATGCCGAGCTTGCTGTGCTGGATAGCCTCCTCGATGATCTTGTTGCATTCGATCAGGTCGGCCACCTTGGGCTCCGGAAAACATTGCTGAAGCAGACAAACCCGGCCTGCCAAATCACACCTTGTCTCTTTTGCCAGCCAGGAGAGAACTCCTAGCTGGCTCCTCAATTGTTCGGCTGTGCATCGGGAAAACCTTTGCGACTTCCTCTTTCGAGGGATCTTGATCTTCTCGGCCTTCTCCTTCACGTAGAACTCCTGGTCGATGAGGATGGAGCCGTCAGGTTGTAGGGCAATGTCCTTGCCGGTAAAACGGCCTTTGCCCTTCTGGTTCTTGCCGAGCTTGTATTCCTCTGCGATCCTCTGGATGTTATCCCAGTGTTTCTGGGTCCCTCCATGCAGCATGTCATCCGTGGCAAGTCCAATAATCCCCTCGAGATTTCTTCTGCCTGAGTCCTCCTTCTCGTGGAGGAAGAAGACGCAGGGGTCGGACTTGCTAGTCTGGTAGCCCATTTCTCGTAGTGGTCTTGAGCAACATCAGTATCTGGTCCCGGTGCATTCCGGGGATGCCTTCTGCCGGTTGACGGCAGTACAATTCCCGGTTGATCTGGTCCCCGGAGTGGAAGGCCTGGGTGAAGTCAAGGAAACCAGGGCACCATTGCATGCTGGCCAAGACCTGGGTGACGAAAATGACGGAGTCTCGGTTCACCTGGGGCGTCGTACTCTCCACATCCAAGGCCGCTTCTTCTGAGAAGCCCTTCATGACATGACGGCATTTAGCCTTCACCGGTCCATGCTGCCTGTCATCAAGTAGTAGTCCTTCGGCTTGGGCCTTGGCTATGTCTGCCGGCTCCAAGGGTTTCTTGGTGAGGACGTAGCGGGACTCCATGACCTTCTCGGGCTTGCTCCGGAGAATCTCCTGGGACTCCTTGAGGGAGAGGATCTTATAGGCGCCGGTCTCCAGGTTATTGTTGACCTCCTTGAGGATAGCCCGATCTAGCCGTTCCCTATCGCCACCTTCGAAGTCCTTCGGCCGGGCTTCCTTCTTCTGGCGTTGTTTCGCCAGAGTCGTCAGGTTCATGTGGTAAAGCTCCAGGAGCTCCACACGACTCCGTTTTTCCCGTGGTTGCTCGGCATCCTCGATGCCGCGCTTGGCTTCCCGGTCATTCGAATCCGATTCTCTTGGTGCCTCCATCATGGTGTCACCGTCCTCGTCCTGCTCGACCTCCATGCCGCTATTTTGCTCATTCGCCAGCTCGGTCAGGATGTCGCCGATCCCGGCGGTAGACTCCGCCTCCTTCCCTTCCCGGCTCGCCCGGACGTAGGTGTCCGTCTTGAACCGCACGCGCTTGGCGGGCGGTGCGGGAAGAACTTCCTCCCGTTGTTGGGTTTCCTCTTCCTCGGCCTGCTCCTCGTCGCCGTCGATGAGGTCGGTGTCCTTGGTGAGGTCGACAAAGTTCCTTCTCGGGTTTTTCTCGAAGGCTAGGCGGGCCTGAGATAGGCCGCGCATCCATCCTGAGAGGGACAAGGTCTCTTCTTCGGTCGCCGGTCTCGTCCTTTCCGGTGCTGCTTTGACGAGTCCTCCTTGGTAGGCAATCCAGACCGCGTTGGGCAGTGAGGTCATGACGACCCTGCCCGGACCCTGCCAGTAGGTTTGCCTCATCTTCTTGTTTGTGCCGGCCCCGCGTCTCCAAAAGTAGATCGCCTGGCCGATCTCAATATTTTGGTGTTGCCTTCGTCCTGCAAGAGCGGCTGCTCGGAGGGCTTGGTCACAGTCCGCCTCGTGGAAGGCCATCGCTGCCGCCTTCCTCATCCGCGTCGCCCTATGAGCATCTGTGTCGCCGACGTGTTGAAGTTCCGCCACCATTTCATCTTGTTCACCTCCTTGTAGTAGACCGCCTGGGATCCTCGGCGAGTAGCTGATGACTCGTTGGATGGGAGAGTAGCCGCCTCGTAGAAGAAGCCTGTTCCGAGTCATACAATGACAAGTAACGTCCACCAACTCTTTCCACTCCCGCCAGCTGTCACACCCGTAGGTCGCCATGGCCTTGTAGAGGATGTCCTTGAAAACGCCTCCAGCCCGTTCGGTGAGGCCTCGTTGAGTCGGGGCCTCTAACGGGCCTGGAACGACCTCCGAGCCGTCATTCTCCACCTGCTTCCTGAACTCCGCCTTGAACTCCCCGCCGAGGTCGATCATGAGTTTCCTCGGAGGTCCGAAGAACCTAACCCATTGCCTATAGGCATTCCGGGTTTCTGCGGCCGTCTCCGCCGCCATGGGCGCCACCAGCTGAAAGTGGGAGTGCCAGTCGATGATGTTCAGGGCCGGCACCGTCTGGTTCTTGTGATTTCGGAGGTGCACGGTGTCCACTCCCACCAGGTCATTGATGAAGAGGTCCTCCCTGGGTGGTGCTCCCTGACGAACAGGTGCTGGTACCTTATAAGCCTCGCAAACCGAACACTTCAGTTCCTTGGCGATCTCGAGGGCTTCCTGGCTTACGCCACTGTGTCTTAGAATCCGGAGGAACCGCCCGGGCTCTGGATGTCCGAGGCCTTCATGGGCCCTCATGACCATACGCTGCAGCGTCACTTGGCCCATGCCGGGAAAGTGGTTGGCCCGCTTGTCCTTCCTTCCATCCAGCCGCTTCCGGTAGATCATCACGACGTTGCCTGGTACTGTTAGAGGTCGTCCTGAAGCTGGTAGCTCCTGCCATCGTACTTCGTCTTCTAGACACTGCCAGGAACCGTCCACCGCTCTTGTCCAGCTCGACCTCCAGGGAAAACTTCCGTGCTCCTCCTCCGGTCCCGGTGTCGGCAGTGTTTCGGCATTGTGTTGCGCCACGGCCACCATTCCATCGTTGAGAATGTACTTGCCCTCAGCCTCGACCATGGCGCGGGTCACTCCATAGTGTCCAGGAACCATTGCCGCATCATCCTCGGGCTCCGGCTCCTCCGTATGTAGGATCTCCTTGGTGTAGGTTTCAAGGTTCACATCTTGATTCCGGAGCTCCTCCTGCTCGGCCGGATCGAAGTAGAAGACGTCGTGCGAGTAGTCTTCCATGACCACCTCCTCGGCATCCTTCACCTTGATCTGGTCGTAGGGCTTATGGATCATGCCGGCATAGGCTCTGACCGAGATCTGGCCACCGCTTGATTTGGACGATACCTTGTGCTGTTCCATACGGGGAACCATGCTGGCCATGTTCGTGGAGATGATTGACTTGTGACCTAGTTGCCATCTACGGTTCTGACCATCTCGCCCTCCATCGCGTCTTTGATCGTTACCATCTCGCCCTCCATCGCGTCCTTGATCGTTACCATCTCGCCCTCCATCGCGTTCTTGATCGTCGCCATCTCGCCATCCAGCGACTTCTGCCTTCCAGAGGTACTGGCCTCTTTGTAGGCCACGTAGTTCTTCCTTTTGCCACTTGTTGGGACGCCATGGCTCCTCAAAGACAAGGGCTGTACCAGAGCTAGTACAGAGGTTGCATACCTGGACAGCAAACCGTAGTAGTCGACGATATTGTTTCTGCTGAGTGATATGGTCTTTGAGAACATGCGTTTGACGTTGCCTGAAGTGTCCTAGCATTCTGCCTTGGGAGAACCATGACTCGGCGGGCTGCTGAATCACAACCAAGCCTGGTCTCACATGCTTCAAGTAGGTCAGCACTGAAACCTGAGCAGAAGCTGGCGTCATCATCTGGCCTAACCGGATCTTGAGGCATTGGTCTGTTGATACTTGCCGAGAGCTAATCTTGGCCTTGGGCTCCATGGTAGTCTCGGAGACGTTGTGGTTGCTAAGGTTAAAGATCTCTGTATAAACCTGACGTCTTTGCTTGCTAAGACCCTTCTTGTAATCCCTGGCGGCCCGATCTTTTAGCTCACAAAGTTGGTCCGATCCGTTGACCAAACATCCATGCAAGTCATTCCAGACCTGTTCTGCCCTCCGTAGGCTTGATGTCATATGCCTCTGGCTACTCACAGAGAGCTTCACTTCCGGCGGCTGCCTTGATTCTCGGCTGCCTTCTTGGCCTCCATGAATCGCTTGAGCTCCTGGTACTCGGCAGAGGTCTCGTCGAGAACCAGATTGGCATCTTCTGGAGTTCCCTGGCTGCTCGGCTGGCCGGTCCTTCGGCTCGAGGTGCTCGTAGAGGATGGCTGCTGGTTCCTCGGTGGTGCCTCGCTGGAACTGCTGGCCGGATTCGCGGGGCCATGGAACATGTGCGGAGCCAGCGGGGTTCCTGGAGCCGCCGAGGGCAGCGGAGTCGTAGATCCTCCTCCCGGTAGCTTCGGTGTCGGTGGCAGAGTCTTTGGAGTTGGCGGCGCGCGGTTCATCTTCGCATAGTGCGGCTTCGCCTTGGCCGTCGGCTCGCGCAGTAGGATCTTTCCGCAGCTGCCGCATCGGATCTGGGTGACCCACGCATTGGAGCCGGTCCCCTGCCGGACCGGATTGATGCAACCGCATTGGATCTCCGCCGGGTTCCGGAGGCTGTTGATGCTGAGATCCGTCCCGGCCACGCTGTTGGACCCCGGGGTACTTGGGGACTTCCTCGCAGACATCGTTGCCAAGCTCGACGGCAAGGATCTTGCAGGGCTCGGTGACGCCGGGCTCGACCACGCCACTGGTTGGGGTGGCGGTGGCCCATTCCTTTTCGTAGGTTGCCACATATCCTGGTTCTCGCGGACTCCCATTGGAAAAACTCGCATCGGATCCCGGCATCTCCGAAGCGAGGGCACCTCCAGAAGAGTCGATGGAGGTTCGGGCCCCGCTTCTTCGTCCTTAACAGCACCGACTCCAGGTTGCAGTAGCAGAGCAGAACCTCCGGTGGTGCAAACTCGTCGACTGTCATCCTTCCGGAGTCCTCCTCCTCCATGGGGCGCTTCCGTGAGCTCGGCATCTCGCGGTTGTCCACCACGGCCCAGTCCTCGTCCTGTAGGCTCGCTGTCATCATCGCGCTCTCGACCGTCACATGGACCTCCTCGAGCTCTGCGGGGCTCAGGGCCCGAATGGTCTCCACCACTCGCTCTTGTAGTCCTCGCCGGTCCGTCTGCAGGCCTAGGTGGTTCGCCACCATGCGGTACACCGAGTTGGCCACCACCGTGAAGATCCTCAGCACCATCCGCCGCCAATGAAATTGCCGACGGTAGGCCTTCTCTTCCTCGGTCAGGTACCGGGTGCGCTTGGTCGCTGGCGGCATGCTGCGAGGCGGGCTGAAGCTGGCTAGAAGGCGACCTAGAAGAGGGTGCTGTGGCGTCGGGCCGAAGTTGCTGCTCGGCCGGACATTCTTCTTCCTGATGGTGAACCTCATTTCCTTGCACACTATACTCGGGGCCTTGCAGACGAAGATCATCCAGTGCACTGCTGAGCCTGTTAATCATCTCGGGGCTAAACTGGTCAAGGGGAACTCGAAGAGCCCCCGTGGGGCCAATATGTAAAGGAACTTCATGGTTGAACTTGCGCAGTTTCAATCGTAGACCTCGCTGAGGATCTAAATCCAATTGGGCTCGACAAAACAGTAGAAACGGAAGAGAGATCAAGAAAGGTGCCTTGCTTGTTTGACCCTCTTCAAAGACTGCTGGGCGTAGAATGCATCCTCCGGGACCTAGGCTTGCGGGAAGACATGCCACCTGTTTGGTCCTTGATAGCCCGTTCACCGACTTGAACACATGCTCCTCGGACTTGTAACAGGCTTGTACTTCAGGAGGATAACGAGCCAGCATCCTATCTAGCGTCTCCTTGCCAGCAGCAGTACGCTGACATCCGGTATCTATGGTAGCACATGCGTCTTCATCAGCCTGCACACTGTCATGCATGTACATCAGCTCATGAGGCAGACCTAAGGCAGAACACATATATGCTGACGCGTCGGGCCCTCGTCGGTCTCCGGGGCCGTTTTGGCTCAAAATCTCCTTAGGAAAACTTGCGGTGCTGCTCGATGACTTGTCAAAGGCCGGCTCCGACTGCTTCTTGGAGTCGAGGAAGTCCAGGTAGTGGAGGAAGAGCACCTCCTCCGACGTGTGCTCCATGTAGTGAGCATCCTTCGGCCTCGCCGGGTTGGGGCACTCCTTATGCCAGTGCCCGATCTGGTGGCACTTGGCACATCTGGTCTTCTTCTTCAAGGCCTCGATGGAGATCTTGTACGATTGCCCAGTCTTCACGGGCTCCTGGCCTTTGGCTGGGCCGAATCTCCCATTGGGGTCCCTTTGGGATCCATAGCCTCTTGCGAGGCCCTTCGCCCACTTGGCGTCGTTCACCGCCTTGAAGGATCGCCTGGGGCCGCCCTTGCTGTGCTCCCGGACCATGGTAGCCAGGACTTCCTTGGCCTCATCCTCGTCGAACACCTCAGAGGTAGACACCGACGTGTCGTCGGCTGCTTCGTCCAAGTCGCCTAGGGCACTTAGGAGGATCTCCATGCTCTCGCTGTCGGCGTGCTCCTCCTCGATCGTGTCGCCCCAGACCTCGGTGGCCCCGTCCATCATCATGACCGAATCCACCTTCTTGGGCTTCTGGCCGGAAGCTCCCCAAGCCAAGTCGGCTTCTTGTACTCTTATCCACTCCTTCACGGCCTTCTGGGTCAACTTGCCCTGGGTATAGTTCATCATGAGCTTCACCTCCTCGGGCGTCACCTGGAGCGCCATGACTAACAAGAAGCCTAGGTACTCCTGGGGCAAGTCCACCTTGTGCTCGCCGAGCTTCCTCACCGCATTGTCCCATCGGGCAAAGAAGGTCTTATACCCTTCGGTTTTCCCTCGTCGAAGGGTGTAGGTAACCTTGACCAGGGTGTTGATCATCTCCTCGCGTTCGTCCTCTCCATACAACTCCTTCGTATTCATCATCTGAATCAGCTTGGTTCCATTGTCTTCGCTCTGCATCCATGCCTCGTCCTTCGCCAAATGCTTGAGGTCGTCGAAGGGGGTTCCAGACAAGCTCCGAAGAAGTGATGGGCCCCTGGCCCTCGCCTTCACCTTGGTAGTCGCCAACCAAAGTCGCGCCCGGATCTCGTAGTCCCGGAAGGGTGTCGTCCCGTCGCACTGCGGTGGCGGGCCGGCATTCGACCGGGTACCTCCTGTCTCGTCCTCGCCGTCATCCTCGTCATCACCTTGGCGTCGTCCCGCGGGTCGCCCGGCAGCACCACGTCGGCGCAGGAATTTTTCAAAGGCCTGTAGATCATCTCGGCCTGCCGAAGGTCGTCTGCGTCGTGTCGGACTGAAGCCTGGTGGTACCGTGTCGGCTGGGCGGTCGGCAAGGTAATCTCCCCACGGATCCTCCGTAGATCAGCATCATCGCCTCCTGGGACCGGGGTCGCCGCTCCGGCGGCGTTTCCTTCTGCAGAGGCGCTAGCCATCTCAGCTGCCTACGGTCTCTCAGCTCAGGCCTGAACAAGCTACTTCGCTATTCTCAGGTCCAAGGAGCTTTCCGAGCTCCGCTACCACTGTCGGCCAAACCGACAGTGGCAGGCATCTGAAAACTAACAGCATGTGCGCTTTTCCGCTTGAGCCATTCCAGCACGATCCCCTGTTTTGGGAAAGGCTATCCCCAATCGAAAGCACACTAAGGTTTGCTTGGGCCTTGTCGGGTGTCTGTTTAGGCTCGGTTTAGGGTGTGTTGGGTGTGCTTAGTTTTTTTTCTCCAGGGTTTGCTCATCAGGGTTTGTGTGGGGTTTATTCAGAGTTTGCTCCGGATCCAGGGAAACACTGCCCTCTCCTACGCGCAGGACTTCAACCATAGTGAGGCCATTCTATATATGTGCATGTACAAGTTTGAAGCTGGTGTGAAGCGTACGAGGTTGTGGAAAAGTTCACCGCAGTGGGAGCCTAAGGATCCTTTCAAAACAACTGGGGCGAGCTTTACAACTGAATTGCTGTGAGGCAGGGGCCAATGATGAAGAAGCCTTGCTTGCATGTCTTTGCTGCGCGAAAGCGCTCCAGAGGCAAGTGTCACACGTGAAAGAGTCGTATAATCTGCAGGAGGAGGAAGAAGACTCCGTGCTGCCCTCGTGGCTCAGATGTCTGATGCTGCTGTGAGGGCGATGATGTTTGCATTTGAGAGCTGTGTTTGGTCTACTGTTATGCTTGCTTAGGCAACCAAAAGCCGTAAGAAGCGGGTGAGGAGACTGTCCGTCTTGACTCATAGCTTCAGGTGCCCAGTTGTACTGAAGCGTACTGAGCATGGCAGGACTGAGACTGTCAACCAGGCTGACCTTGCCCTTGGCTCAGACTGATAGTATATTTGTATGTGCCGAATACTTCAAACTCATAATTGGACTTCAAATTCGATTTGAAATGACCAACTAGGAAGTTGCGGCTGCAATGGCCGTGCTGGACGACGAGCTCTCTGAAGAGGAATGCGTGTAGCTGATCGCAAGTTGGAAGCTGCTAGACGCTTTTGGGCACTGAACATTTGCATGCTCATTCAGTACTGCCCCGGCCGCATATGTGGAAACTTGCACTTATAATGGGTAGTGACCATCTCAGCAGCATCGGAAGTAGCAGTCAGCGTTTGCGAAGTTGTATGGTAGTAGCCGGAGCATGAGAAGTAGAGTGAGGAGCAGCTGCGCCAAAAGCATTAACGAGTCATGACAGACAGGGGCAGTACCAGCATGCCGCTTTAGACAGTCCTTGCCAAGTTCTATCCTGAGAAGGAACAGCGCCGCAATGCCGCGGTTGGCCAGATCCGAGAGGTGCAGGTTGGGCCCCAATTCCGTGTCAGAAACATTGATGCTAAGAACAAATTGGTGGTCTGTAGAACCTACAGAGTATTACATGTGATCAAATGGGTTTATACACCTATAGAAAGAACACGACTGTAATGTTGTTTGCTCCGGGGTGCTGCCCTTTTCTGGGTCCCTTCATCATCGACTTCAAATCCTATGTCGTGTATGAGGCCATAAACGACCAAGGTCAACAAGGTCTATAAAACTATGATACGAATAATCTAAGAATACTAATAATACTAATACTTATAGAGCTAATAATATCAATAATACCAGGAATAATGATATTAATAATACCAATAATAATACCAATAATAGTACCAAGAAGAATACCAATAATAATACCAAAAAAATACCAATAAACATACCAATAATAATACCAATAATAAAACCAAGAATACCAACAATACCAATAATACCTATAATAATACCTATAATACTATAATACTATCATACCGTAATACTGTAATACCATAATGCCATAATACCATAATACCAGAATATATATATATATATACATCAACCGGGGTCTTACTTTGCGCACGGGCGTGATGCAAGGCCAGGAGTTCCTATTAAGTACTGTAACAGAGATCAGATATACTTATAGGGCGAGGACTACGGATGCTAGAATCTGCATCGCCATAACTTAAGTAGATAGAGATATATGACGGACTCGGCATCCTGACATCCTATAAGGAGGGTGCGACTCTGGCACGAGATCTGGGGGCTCGGATAACAGACGTCTTGTGCTCTGATGTGTTCACGTCAATGTAATCGGGGCTTGTGATTCAAATGTTAGAGAGGAAGCCTGTCATGGCACGAAAGTCAGACCAGACTGGCAGCTGCTCTCGCAAGAAGGTTTATGTTCACATCGCTGGAACAAGCAAGCGTCGCTGCACTTGATGAACCGACAGCGTGCACAGAATCATTAAAGTTTATGCAAGGCAACCTGGCTTGGAGGTCAGGAACTCGCATGTAGGCCCGAGATCACAACTAGGACCTTTCAATTACAGAAAGGGACGCTGTGGGAACCTGTTTGTTGCATGGTTCGCTAGATCTAAGATTGCATAGAAAGTCTTGGCAGGCAATCTTGGATTCCAGAGCTCAAAAAATCCAAAAAACAAATTAATTTTTTGAGGCCTGGAATCCAAGATCTAAGATTGCACAGAAAGTCTTGGCAGGCAATCTTGGATTCCAGAGCTCAAAAAATTAAAAATACAAAAAATGTTTTTTTGTTAACAAAAAATTTTGAGGCCTGGAATCCAAGATCTAAGATTGCACAGAAAGTCCTGGCAGGCAATCTTGGATTCCAGGCCTCAAAAAATTCAACAAATACTTTTTTCAATTTTTTTGAGCTCTGGAATCCAAGATTGCTCCTCAAGACTTGCTGTGCAACCTAAGATCTTGGATTCCAGCGCTCAGAAAATTAAGAATTGTTTTTGAGGCCTGGAATCCAAGATCGAAGATTGCACAGAAAGTCCTGGCAGGCAATCTTGGATTCCAGGCCTCAAAAAATCAAAAAACTAACTTTTTTTGAGGGCTGGAATCAAATAAGGTACGGACTGTTATAGAACCCCATCGAACCCCAAAACGTCATATGCCACGCATGCCCCATAGACCTTGTGTACGTAGGATCTTTATGGTCTGTTTGACGTTTGGTGTGTTAAACTGTTTTTACAGTGTTCAAAGTGCCAAGCCGTTTATAGAAGGTTGTAGAAGCCCGTGAACTCCGGAACTGAAATTGCTTAAAGTGTTTAAACTACGTGCCGCGCTCTGGGAATAAAGCAGCATCGTGTAGATCCAGGCACGATTGTTTTGTTCATGGTGGTTTCTGAGAGTCGCGAATAGCAAAATCTGTCTGCATCTATGCTCAACATTTTCTGGAAGACAACAGCACTTCGTAAATCCAGGCAGATTTTGTCCGTCGTGATTTGTCAAAAAATAGTTTGAAAACTAAGGCGGTGAATTTGCGTGAATCACACCAAAATTTGTTCGTCTTCTTCTTGCTCAAATTTACAACGAAACCCAGTGAACAAAATGTGGTTTGATTCGCTTGCCCTCCTTGCGCAAGAAAAACGAAGAGGCGCGCGATTCACACCAAAGTTTGTCCGATTCATGTGATTCGCACGCCCTTCTTGTGCAAGAACGAGATGGAGGGGCGTGAATCACACCAAATGTTGTGCATCTTCTTTTCGTTCAATTTTGCGCCAAAACCCAGCGGACAAAATCTGCTGTATTCGTGCGCCGTCCCGGCGCAAGAAACAAGGGGGCACGCGAATCACACCAAATCGTGTTCGCCTTTTTTGTAATTCAAATTTAGAACAAAACCCAGCGGGCAAAATTTGGTGTGATTCGCTCGCCTCTTTGTTTTCTTGCGCAACGACGGCGTGCGAATCTTACCAAGTTTTGTTTGCCTTCTTTTTGCTCAATATTTAAAACAAAACCCAGCAAACAACTTTGGTGTGATTCGCGCGCCCTTTCGCAAGAAAAAAGGAGGCACGCGAATTACACCAAATTTGTCCGTCTTCTGTTTTGTTCACGGACAAAATCTGGTGTGACTCGCGCGCTTTCCTTGCGCAAGAAAAACAAAGGGGCGTGCGATTCACTTTTGTCCGCCGCATTTCGTTTCAAATCTGAGCAAAAAGAAAACAAACAGAAATTGATGTGACTAGTGCGCCCTTCCTGCGCAAGAAAAACAAAGCGGGCGCGGGAATAACACGCATGCTTTTGTTTCAAATTTGAGCAACAAGGCGGCGGACAAAGTTAGGTGTGATTTGCACGCCTTCGTTGCGCAAGAAAAGCAAAGCGGCGCGCGAATCACACCAGGTTTTGTCTGCTGGATTTTGGTTTATATTGGTGCAAAGGAAGGCGAACAACTTGAACAACTTTTGTTGTGACTAGCGCACCTCGTTTTTCTTGCGCAAGAAGGGAACGCGAATTGCGCCAGATTTTGTCCGCTTGGTTTCGACGTGAAATTGAGCAAAGAGAAGGCGGACAACATTTGGTGTGATTCGCGCCGCGCCAATAAGCAAACCAACCACAGATTCAGCCAAGACAAACCAATAGGCAAAACAGCCACACATTAAACCCTAAGCCCAAGCCTTCGACTAATCTTAGTCAAACTGCTTTCTCTCCGACAACCCTCGTCCCAAACCTTGTGCATCTTCATCTTTCGTTTTTGGGGTTGAGTGCACGCTAGGGTTTACAACAACTTTTCGCCATCGTTGAGGTTGGGGCACGCTAGGCTTACAAAGAACCTTTCGTGTAAGGATGTTGGAAACACAGTAGGGTTTACAAAAAAAACCTCCGATTTTTATGGTCAGAACACAGGTTTTTCGTTCTGGGATATAGGGTTCTTAAGGGAAGGGGGGTTCATGGGGGGTAGGTACCTAGGGAACCTCGGGAAGGGCGCCTCAGGGAGTGGTATGTAGTACTTGGGTTATATACCCCCCTTGAATCCCCCTCCCTTAAGAACCCAACAACTTGCGGTTGAAGGCACGCTAATTAGGGTAAACGCTTAAGGGTCCAACACCCCCGCGCCCCTCCCCTTACTAACTTCTATAAGTCCGCCTATCATTTCGGGCCCGTTTCAGTAGCCAGCCAAAAGGAATTTGAAGAGGATGGTCTTGGCTTGGCGCGACTCCAACCAGAGCCACTTGGTTGAGTTGGCCAGTTCGTTTAATGCCGGTGGAGCTCGCAGTTGAACAGGCTCATGATGCAAATGTCCGAGTTTCTTTCCGCGGCTCGGCAAAACGTGCTTTGAGAAGGGCTTTGAGGACGTTGCTTTTGTAAGCCGGGGCTACGCGCCAAGGTGAAGGATTCTTTGGTCTTACAGGCCGCCTTCGTGACGGCTGCTCAGCAGGCGCGGGTTTCTTTTAGACTGACCCGACGCAGATTCATAGTTTTCGAGCTGTCATGGCATATGTGTGGAGTGTAGTGATGTCAAAAAACATGGCAATGTCCAAGCCTGTTTGTCAGGCTTTTGGGTGCTTGGTCTCCGGAAGGCCAGGCTTGACTCTGCTTGCGGGCATCATGGCAAATCCGGTACTTGGGTTGTGCCTGGCAGGCTTGGCCATGAAGCGCAGGCGCCTGACCCCACAAACCGGGTAAAAGCGTACAACCTGGTGGGTGGAATGTACTTCTACAATGCGACTGGATCTGTCTTTGATGGTTGGAACGAGTGCTGGTTCGCGTATACGGATTTGACACGCTGGTGCCAGAGATTGCACGCCAGAGTCGCTTGGATGCAATACGTGGATTAAATAGGAAAGTTGTCCGAAGTTGTGCTGCCCGACTACGGATGACTGGCAAGCCTTGCAGCCCCCCCCACCGCCCCCGTCCCCGCCATGTGTCAACCAAACGCGTCTCCAAAATGTATGCGTTTTCCCTTGGCGCGCAGACGCGAAAAACAAGTAACATTTCGAATTTTCGAGCTTGTGCTTGGCGCACGGACGCGAAAAAACTAAATGTTCGAATTTGTGCTTGACGTGCGGATGCGGGAAAAAACGAAAAGTTCGAAATGTTCGAACTTGTGCTTGGCACGCGGACGCGAACAAAAACTTTTTTTTTGAAATTGTCGAGTTTGTGCGTGGCATGCGTATTTTCGCGTTTCGGACGCGGCAGTTTTGCAAGCCTCGATGCTCTCAATTTCTACTTGTCGCGCGAGTGCGCGCGTCAAATCTTCGAGCTTACAGGCATGCATTCAAAATTCAACAATCTGTTTTTTGCGATAAGAAACAACGCGTGCTGTATAGAAAACCTTTTTTTATGATATATATGTTTATATATATATACATATATAAAATACAAATGTACGTATTTAGCCACACACACAAACACACACGTTCATGTGCCGTCTGAAGGGAAAAGCGCTTCCGAGCTTAGCCGAAGGTCCGAGGCTTCGGAGTTGATTTGGGTTTAACTCTTGAGTTAGCGTTTTGGGGCTTTGAAACTGCTTGCCTTTGCTGCTTCAGGGGCTTTCATCTCATACATACGTAGTAGTACATGTGCGCACGATAGACAACCTACAAAAAGGATCAAAAAGGTAGGTTTTTTTGTCCTTGCGGTATGACATGGAAGGCATCCAGAGCTTACGCAAATTCTGAAATGGTTGATTCTATTTTCTTCGTGCGGACACGAAGAAAATGAAAATATTGAAAGTTTCTAAGTTGTGTTTGACGCGTGAACTCGAAAATTAAGAACAAATGCGAATTTAAAAGCACAAAAATCTCAACACTTTCGAGAAAATGTTTGGCGCGCGGACGCGAAAAAACGAAAGCTTTCGATTTTCGAATTTGTGCTTGGCACGTGGAAGCGAAAATAATTCGATATTTTCGAATTTGCGCTTGGCGCGCGGATGCGAAAAAAACGAAGAGTTCGAAACTTTCGAGTTTGTGGTGCGCGGACGCGGAAAACACTAAAATCTTGAATTTTGGAATTTGCGCTTGGCGCGCGGACGCGAAGAAAACTTAAATTTCGATGTCTTCGAATTTTAGCGAAAACGGACGGGCAACCTTTTTGATTTTTTGCGCAAACTGCGCGCATGCTTCCTTAAGCTTTGGTGACTGGATCTGGTTGACTTAGAAATCCCCCGCGCCCGCCCCCCCCGCCCATGTGGAGGTGCATTGCTGTACCTTGGGGTACAAACGGTCATTCCGCAGGAGCAGAATTGCAAAATACGGAATCTTCTGAGCCTACAAATGCCGAAAGATGGCACACACCTCACGTGCAGATGCTATGTCATGCTCTCCTTCTGCGGCAATTGTAACCTTCCAAGACCGCAAGCGTCTCAAAAGGCGATTCTGGCCCACCATTTACCATGTTTTGGGCTAGGGTTGTGTTTAAGGCGCGGGACATGCGCCACAGGCCGAACGAATCTTTGTTTAGCGGAATACATGTGGTTTCAAGCAAGCCGACACTCTGGACATGTGGTACTAAAGCGCTGTTTTGGTGATCCCCTGCCTCCAGACCTTGGGCCCAGTCATCATTCTGAGATGGCTAGCTCTATGCCAGGAGCCTCCCGTAGTTTGTAGTCGAAAATATTCGACATGATTTGCTTGCGCAAGCCTGAACTCAGGTGGAAGTAAACCCAGAGGGGCGGAAGCTGCAGGAACGCACGCGGCGACTGCATCGCCGCCTGAGCTGCTTGCAAGTCGTGAAGGCCCGAAGGGAAGAACCCTTCAGATTTGCAGCGCGCGGTGAGCAACGAGAACAATAAAGCGAGCTGCGTTGGCTCGATGAAAGAAGTACCGAGTTAATTCTGGAAATCCCTGCAATTTTTTAGTTGGGATAAATTTTACTTCGAGCAACCGCACCCTGATGCATACTACGCGCTTTGTGGTAGTGCCGTTTGGTCGACTGGGACTGAGTAACTCCAAAGGAATGACAAGACACTGCCCATGATCACTGCCGAGGTTCCACAAAAGAGGAAATTCAGCGAAATAACAACCCCGGACTGGTGATCGACGGACCAAGATAATGAACGGTTCGCGTACGAACCTAATTCTCATGATCATGATTCGTTTGTATGTTTCTGGTATCATGAAGGGACCCTGAGTATGTATATTCCTGAGGCGCATACCAAAACATGAAACGCATTGAAACGCCTACGCACAAAGACAACCTTGGACAGTTGTTGATGTGCTGGCCTGTTGTTTCGCTGATGTTGCTGTTGATTTGCTGGGATGTCGGGTAGATGAGATGATGGGTGGTTGCTGTTGTTGTTGTCGTTGTGGTTGTTCTTCTTCTTGTTGTTGTTGTTGTTGTTACTATTGTTATTATTATTAGTATTACTACAGTTATTATTATTAGTACTTATTATTATTATGAATATTATAACTATTATTATTGTTATATTATTAGCAGTATTATTATGATGATGATGATGACTGTTATTACTGAATCATGAACCTTGAAGCTACCCGAGTTTTTGGGTCTCTCCAGTACCATGCCTTTGACCCTGCGTGCCCCACAGTGCCGGAGTCATGGAGCTATGGAGTACGCAGAAAGCTCAGAAAAGCCTGCGAGCAAAGAAGATTTCCATAGGGATGTCCGAGGCCATGTGATGGTTTTACAGTCCCCTGCAATTCATGCAGGCGGAATAAGTCTATCCCCGGTGAGTCGTCATAAGGGAAGTCCCAGCTTCGGCCGGTGACGGTCCGGGCCCTCCCAACTGATGTCCTTTCGTGGCGTGGGACGACGTGGAGACACAAGGTAAATCCGGAGACCCAGGAGACCCATCAGTCGCGAGGAGTTCGCAAGTCTTTCTCCCTTTCCCATCTCAGCAAGAGTCCTGGTTCTCTGCATAGCAGTCCCAAGGCAGCGTATCTTGCACTGTTCGCTGTCTATCTGGTCTTCTCCTTCAAGCAGGTTTTCTTGGTCAGTGCTATCGCAGCCACACGATTCTCCGCTTTTCTGGCAGAGTTGAGGAGGTGTTGTAGGCCCTTCATCATTTTCGGTCTGCACCAGCAGTTTCTGTCTGGCTAGATCCCGTCCGCCTCCTGGGCGGGCCTGGGAAACTGGTCCAAGCCCCATGCAAGGGCGTCTCCACGGCCGTTGTCCGGCACATTTGGGACCCAGCTGCCCCCGCCGGCGCAGCGAAAAACTCGCAACTGCCGTCTGGCCGTGTTGGCTCGAGAGTGCGGCAGATTCCAAGCCTCCGGTAGGGACCGCAGGACAGGACAAGCTGTACATCGGTGATTCGGGGGAGCTCCAAGCCGCGATGTGCCATGGCCGCGGCGACGGCGGAGAGCCGCAGCTACGGCCGCTCCATGGCGAAGGCGCGCGCGCGCGCGCGGGGCCGCGCGTCTCTGTGTTCGCGGCTCCATAGAGCTCTGTTTGACTCGGAAGGCAATGGTCCATTTCAAGGACATGCGACGCCGACGGGACCTGAGGGGCTCCATGCAGAGGCAGAGACTCCTTCAGGATAACAACTTCTCTGGCTTCTGCGAAGCGCTTGCCGTCGGCTCGCTGCAAGATGCCAGTATCTCTGTGACGCTCGCGCAGCCCGAGGACGCTGAGCGATGCTCAGCTAAGTAAGTTTCAAGCAACCTTCCAAGTAAGAGTGTGCGACAGTCGAGCATCTTTACATGACTTAGTCGCAGCCTTCATCCGCATGCTGTCTTGCACTTATCCATGAGAGAGACCCTATATGCTTGCGATTCCCTCTTGCCACAGGGACATTGCACATGTCGTTCGGGCCATGCCATCCTGCCTCCATGCCCAAGCGAATAGCACATCGAACTTGATCCTAGCTGAGTCTGCACAAGCGCTGGCTAGGAGCCGGACTGCCCACTCATCGGCGTCAGCAAGGCAAGGCAGGAATTGGCGGCTTGGCCAGAGGGACGAATGTGGCTGTTGGTGCAGGGCTTTCAACTCCTAACCGGATACGCCCGCGACGAAGTTCTTGGCAGGCCGCAGTCTATCCGAGTCTATCCACAGCATGAAAATGTATCCGAAAATTCCGTGCCAGGAATTGCCGGTTCCTGAATCGTGGTTGTGTCGTCCCGAAGGAGGACGCGGGAGTGGGAGCTCTGCCTGCGACCCTGGAGCGGGCCTCGATGGGCCTCGAGTCCCCTTGAAGCTGCTAGTCGCGTGCGAGTAGTAGTCGCGTGCTAGTGGTTTTTGCGGGGTCTCTGTCTCAATTGTCTTGCGACAGCCTTGTGTGACGCCTCGAGGCCCCAACCACAGCTCTTCTCGCTTGGGTTGGTCGGTAGCCGGTAGCCTTCAACTGCTTGGTGACATTGACGGAAGTCCTTCCCAACTCCCACTCCAGGCACTCCAGGCACTTCAGGCCTGGCCGCACTGGGAAGAAAGAGAAGAGCACATCTCTTTTTGTTGCGTTATTGCCTTCAGGAGCCACCCCCATTTTTTTTGTTGGCCCATGCCTGGAAAAGTCAGCAGCGGAAAGGGGCGGGGGGGAAGACGGAAGGAAACCTGAGGGCCTTAGGCGGCCTTAGGGCGGTTCGGTTTTGGTTCGGCTTTGGTTCGGGCCGCAGGAGCGGCTGCGCCTGCGGGCGGCGGTGCGCAAGGGAAAGAAGGGCGGCGCGTCCTTCGCGGGGCTTCTGCAGAACCGTCGGAAGAACGGCGAGGCCAGGCGGCCATGCCGCAAGCTTTGCGAAGCCGCTGCGACCCTCAGGCCTTCCTGAACTTCCTCTGCATCAAGACGCTCCGAGTCGGCTCCCTCTTCTACTTCTTGGGATTCCAGGCCCTAAGCCCCTAAGCCTGTCTGCGTCTCCCTCTGCAACTCTTTTTGTCTGTCAGGTGGACATGACTCACCGGAGTGACAGTGAGCATGTACAGAATCTGGTTCAGCTCGAGCTGGATGCTATTGTGCGGATCTCCGGTCTCAAGCTTCGCCCTCGAGAGAGACACCGCATCACTCTGCACAAACAAGGTCTCCACGATCTTGTATGCTCAAGATGATGCTTTGTCCCGCTTGCAGGCACGCAGACATGCCTTCGAGGTGCCATGCCATGACACGCATCCACGAAGCAGATGTCAGGTGGTCGAGGACTTCGATCACAAAGCTTGGCTGCTCCGGAAGGCGAGGGTGAACGACGTCGGTTGTGTGGTTAGCCCTGGCAGCAGGAGTACGACCATGCCAGTGGCCCAGAATGGCCATGCCACATGGCCACATCATGCCGCTGTGGAAGGTTCGCTTGCTGAGGCGAATTTTGCTTCGCTCGAGCATGACCAGTTGCTCACAAAGAACACTTTCCTCGAGGCAACAAGCAAGATGAGGACGAGAGAGCTTAAGAGGGACAGCTAGACACATAGCCCGGCTATGCCCGCGATTGCGCGATGGCGAGTGCTCGCGCTGTTCGCCACTTGCAGGTCCAGGCGGAGGAAGACGAGAAGCGACTGACTCGTGGCTCTGCAATGATCAGCTGTCCCCACGCTAAGCTAAGGCCACTCCGGCGATCTGTATCAGACTCGATCTTTGAGGAAGGCCATAAGCAGTGTAGCACCTGAGTCGGACGCCTCGAGTTCTTGCCCTTACTGCTGGAAGGTTCCAACACTTCAGAAGAGGTGCACGGCGCATGGATTCGCATGCACCGCAGCTGCTGTGTCTGGAAGGCCTTCACCAAGACGCTGAAGATCCTGAAGGACACGGACGGACAAGAAACACCAAAGAGAACATGCTCGAAGGTATCGCTCTTCACAGACGAAAGAGCTCTGAATCTCTCAATCTCTCTCTCTCTATCTCTCTCTCCCGCTCTCCCTCTCCCTCTCC